ACGATTACAAATGTATGTATATACACATTCGTTATACAATTATGAATATTTCAGATAATGATATGAAAACTTTTCTTGGCTAAAATACTACTCGAAATTAAATAGGTAACTTGCAATTTGGAAAATAATACCTGAAACATTTGAAAAAATTCCATATGAATCACCTTGAAAACAATTCATTCAAAATATGTTTAATTCTTTAATTGTAAATAAAAACCGGTATTAATATTCATGGCTAATAGCTTTAGGTTTAGGTGTTTTTTAAGTTCTGAATTGAAATGTACCGTGAAAATGTAAATTAAAAAATCGGATTATTATAATAATATATAATATGATGTCGAAGTAATATTTCGATTGTAATACAACAATACATAAAAATAAAATACTGAATTATATTCCACAAAATACAAATTAAAAATGTCAATAATTTATTAGTATAATCATAAATTGTAACGGTAAGTATATATTTATTATGTGACCGGTCAATAGAAATACTACATATTGTATTATGAGTAGTGAAAAAAAATAATCACACCAATTAAAATTATTGAATCCAAACGAGCCCTTTAAACTATTTCATAGTTTGTATAAAAATAAAATCATATTACATTGTATAAAAAACGTACGGAAACAGAGCAATAATAGCTTTGAATATGCTTGGTATAAAATAGTTGAATTTATTTTTCAAAATTTTCATATAAAATAATATTATCGTCCTTGATCATAAATCTCAAAACCTACTACTACTTATACATGAGTGGTAAAATATTACAGATCAAAATAATACGTAGAACGTTACAAACTAACAAAAAAAACAACTTTTTTTCTATCACAGTTTGTATATTTACAATTTTCTAGTTCTAAATACTCTATTTATACTTTTTTCTCAAATTTGAATTTACATACATTTAACATATGATTTGATATTAAAATTACAAATATACTACTTCAATAATAATTGAATATTATTTATCTAACAAACAATAAATAAAAATAATTGTTTGTCAAATCGTTAAAAAACTACTTATAATTTATCGATTATTATAATGTTTATCATAACATTGCAAGTTATAGAAAAAATTACATGTAATAATGGTTTACTGTGTAACTACTACAAATGGTAATATACAAATATTATTTTAATTTACAACTAGTTTTACGAAAATCCTGCGGTCATGAAGTGTTTTGTTTATAATATACGAGTAGATAAAAGAAAATTTGGCTGAATGATTATAATACAAACATTGAAAATTGGTATCGAAAGTTATACGATTACATTAAATAGCTTATCACTAAAATCATCCACATATAGAACAGTAAGTAGAATTAAAACATTTAAACGAAGCTGGGCTGGGTAAAGTTTACGAACAATAATAGCACCCATGTCTCATTATTTAGTAATAATTAATGGTATATCCATAAGAAATTATCAATAAAAACAATATTTTTTAATAATTATTTCCAAGTATGAATTATTAAATAATGACTAATTCAATTTACATTTTATGCTATATTAAATTAATCATGATCATAATTAGACCTATTGCGCAGTTCATTGATTTCTATATTATTATATTATATAGAATTAATACAGAAAAGAAAAAATAATTGATAATGTAACAAACAATAAGTCAAGTTAAATTACAATTATTTACATCAGTTCAGGACAGGGTGACTTGGGTGAAGAGGCCATCCATTTATGGAACTTCTTGATTCTTTAAATTAACCAAACAGAATTTAATGTTACATCATACTTTATTACCTTGGAAAAATGTATCTAGGTAGTAGACCATTCAATAAAGATAATTAATGATACAATCAACTGGTAATTAAATCAATGAATATAATTAAATACCTGTCCGAAGTAGGTCGTAGAATTATCAAAGTTTTACATCATTTAAGTAAATAGATAATTATTTCTTTAGTAAAAAGACTACTTGAATAGTCATGAATAGTCAAGTTCATAGATTTGCTGTTTTTTTTTTTTTTAATTCTACAAAATTTTAATTGAAAGTTAAGTTTTCAATTACTTAACACATGTGATATGTGGGAATATCAAATGTAAATGTACAATGAAAAGAAATCTCAAATTTAGTTTTTACTTAAAAGTGAAATGTTCCAGCCTCTATCGTGTGTAACAAGGTAACTTAATAACATACGGTTATTAATCAACGCACATATTTCTAGGATAAGAACAAATGCTCGTGGGGTATAAAATAAACAAAAATGTATCACAAAGTACCTATAAGCTATAATATTCAAAATGAGTACCTATATTTATAATTTTTTAATAATTATTATCATATATTATATTGAAATATACGAATGAAAACTAAAGAGCATTCATTATAAATATAAAACAATAAAACTTTTTTAAATACTTTAACAGAATTAAACAATTAAAAAGTTTAAACAAAAATGATCGTCTTCAGATTAGGTATTTCCTTAACATTAAATAATATTATTATTTTTATTCAGATTTCATAACATAAAAAATATGTATACATAAGGTAATATTCTGAAGTTTGAGACTCGTTCATTCAAACGTATCTAATTTATTAGATTATTAATTAAGTACTAACAGGTATTGCAAAAAATATAAAAAAATTGAATTGAACAATTGATGAGTTACACGAAAGAAAAAAAAATTACTTAATAAAATTAAAAGTTAATCGAGTTGTTTTACATTATATTTACATGAAGTTATTTAAATTAATGATATAACCACACCGATGAACATTAATCCCGTCTCGAGTTCTTTTCACATGTTGATAATATTGCAGAAAACAACCATACTAAAATTAGTTGTAGACAATGGTATAGATATAGTTTTTTTGAGTACATAAAATTCAATACTTCATGATGGAGTATATCAATATTAGTACATAACACTACGACCATATATCTACCTACGATGTCGACAAACCAAATAAATAATACTGAACATAAATAATAATACAAAACATCCCTTGGTAGAATATACCTATATCAATTATTGATTTTTCATCCTTTTTTTTTGTATCGTAGAATTCTTAATCATAGATACGCCAAGTTTATAGATTGAGACAGTAAGTTATATTTTAATAGGGTTTGATTTGGTTAATCGCGTTTATCTGATGGCCTTCGAAAAGTCCTGGTAAATTATTACTTTAATTACAATAGCTGATGAATAACCAATGTATTATTTAAATTTAGAATACAATAAATACATTTGTAAGATGGTAACAATATTCACAGTTGGAAACATTAGTTCAAAAATCGATTAATATTGTATATTTGTATCGCATATCATCACTATCTGTAGCGTGTGCCCTTAAACGGGGAATCGATTCGGTTACGGTGCACAACGGTCGTAATATCCCGACGGGGAAGTTAAAAAATATTAATTAATCACTATCGTTACAAAGTTGTGCAGCTTCCGCCTGCCAAAGACACAAAAAGTATTTTATTTTATGTCGTGCACGCGTCGAATTCAGATGATGTCGAAACGCAATTTTCGATGGGAGGGAGGAATAGAAAATAACAATAACAACATTGATCTTGACGAAAACCGCAACCGATGCACGGCAGGGCAGTGAATTAAATGTTCATAAAGCGCACGACTACGACCATACGGTGCACAACAATTAGTCTTTTGAGTGGCATAGAAAAATCGGTCTACATTATAATGATCTATACGATTGTAGCTATAAAACTCGCACGGTATTTAAAAATAGTTTTCCTTCGGGCCGATTTTCCCAAGACGCCCTTGTGAGCTTTTAGGCCTAGGTATTTGACCGAGTGCCAGGTGCGATGACAAATGTTAGCGGCAAACGCGAGCGTACGGGCTACAGAATTACAACTCGTATAAGCATACCGTCTGGTCGTACGCAGGGCTCCAAATTTACAAAAATTACATTAAGTTTGACAAGTATTAAAATTTAAATTTTTTTTTTTAAATTCAAGTTTAATGGTTTATTCTAGCTAATCATAACAATTGATGTGCTAAAAATGTGTATGAAAGCACCAAAACATATGTATTTAAAGGCCTCCCGATGTATATTAAACCCAGGAGACCCACAAACCCTAAAAACGAATCTGGACGAACGATTACATCGGACTGTAAAGACACCGCGTCATCGGCCAATTGGCTCGACGAACACTGTATAAACATTTCAAAAACCGAAGAGGTTATGAGGACTCCAAATGTATATAATATAATTCATATATAACATGTTATAATATCGCACGCGATGATATCGTCGAAAGGTACAACGTGATCGTGGGTCGTAAGACTAAGTAAAAATTCTATCGGTAACCGAAAACCAGAGCGACCTGACATAATAACGGGGGGGCCGCCGCGTCCCGTACGGACGATGAGAGGGTTGGAAAACTGGGCGACGAGTACAGACGCGTGTCTATAACGCACGAAGTTCGGTGCCCCGCGAAACGACGGCGCGGGAACCGCGGGCCAGACGGACGGACAGACGGGCAGGCGGGGTGGCACGGCGGCGGTCGTTTCATGCGACGTTCCAGCCGGTGGGAGCGACGGGTGAAGTGGTGCAGGGGTGAGTGAAAAACCGAATGGTGTACGTGCAGATCGTCACGTACGCCACACCAGTCGGCCGAATAACGCGGTCGAGAGCGCACGAGCCGTGCGTCCGTCGTCGATAGCGGGCGACAATGAAACGAACCGCTCGATTCGTAAGAGCGCGACCGGGCGACCACGGGTCGGTAAATGAGGAAAGGTCGTGTACGCTCGGCGGCATGCGTGGCGTACGTGACGGCTGTCGCTCGACGTATGGCCGATTAAATGCAAAACATACGGAACGGATGGGGGAAACGAATATGAACGGAAAAAAAAAATCGGCCGCTGCCAGTAATGATTGCGTATACGTAATTATTGCGGCGCCGCGATAAGCGTATTGTAAACGCGGGCACAAGCCGTAGAGTGAGGGCAACAACAGACATGTGTTTTACATTGTAGAGCATATTATATATCAGTGGTTTTTGCGACTTACTCCAAGCTCGAACGGCGCCGGCTGCGAGGACGATCAAGACCGCGACCACCCGAAGTACACGTTGGTAACTCATATTATTATTGTTATCGTAGTACGAGTGGGGTGGCGGACGGGACGGTGGATAACAAGTGCCGATGGCTATTGCGTACGAACGATAAACATAAATTACGTAAAGTTAGCGGAGAAAAACTGGCGGAAACCGCGTGCGTGAAAAAACTAAAAATAACTGATTGGCCGCGCGGAGTGAGAATGAAAAAAAAAAAAGAACTGAACATTTGAGATCGCCGCGTGCACACGGACACGCGCTGCTCCGGGCGACGGCGGTATACTGTGCGTGGCGCGTAGACGCGATGCGGTGTGTGAATTATTTTCAGCGCTTTCGAGCGACGGGTAGGTGCGCGCGCGCGTGAGTACGGTGCACGAGTGAGTTTCGCCGAGCGCGCGACAACCGAACGAGCGGAACGCACGTTTTGCGCGTGCGCGTGCGTGCGCGCGACACGACACCGCACTAGACGGTGAGACGGTCAGCGAGCGACAACGGCCGCACGTAGAGATACCGCCGGTTGGTCAAAATACTGATAATGTAATGCGACGACGTCGTGTGAACCCGTATTACGTTCCGTTCGATTCCTTTTCCTTTGCACCGTGTCGTGTGACGCGAAACACACGTGCGCGCGCAAGGAACTCAATGCATATGATGACCAGTGCTCCGATATCGACTCGAAGTGAACGCTCTCGGTTTTCCCGTCATTTTCCCGTTTGGCCGGGTGCCGGGGCACAGTAGTTACGGTAATGTCGGTAAGTCCACCCCTTCCGGCTAAACGGTTGTTTACCAAACGTGCCTAGGAACGAGCGAACGTTTGGTAAAACATTTCGAATGGGGAGGTTTTTGAAAAAAATGTATCATGTAAATATGATGTTGTTGTGTGCCGTATACAATAACGCTTTTTAGAGGTTTTTCTGGGGGTGGATCCTTTGATATTATCTTATAATATATTAAAACATAAAAATGTAAAACCCATTCATAATTTATTACTTAAAATGTAATTCTTATATGAATGAAAAACACAAAATATTTTAAACCCGAACTTTTCGAGCGAATAATATATCACAGCCTCAACTCGGGACTTGGGGAGTCCAGATCTACTGGACCATCCCCTATTAATCCAACCACCGGAAAATTAATATATTCTATACATGTTCGATTTCGGTCCGTAATATACCGTTTATCGGAATGAATTTCGCGTAAAATGATTCCGCTTCACAGTAACTGACTACCTAACTCTTATACAATCGCATCCTCGTTGCACTTCCTCAGCGTTCTCTATATCTTCAACGAGACGTTCGACCAGTTCAATATTTGGCCGTCGTGCGCACTCGCGACTAGAGATGTCATCGAAATACATCGATAAGTTATAAATATCGTTATATTTTACTCGATATTTCGATAAATTTGTATAAGGCTCGAACACAAAACGCGTCTGTCGCGGCGGTAAGACGGTAAATTTGTATTACGAAATATCGTATTATCCCTGTCATACAGAAGACGGTCTGTCACAGCGGGACAATTCAGATCACAACAACAGGCGATAAATGTATACAAAATAACAAAATACCACGCGGGCAGCTTCGACGATATGACAGATGAAACTGAAATATTAGTAGAAAATGTGAAGAAATAGATATTTTTATATTACAAAAATTTTGAAATGTTTAATTTTAGATTTAGTGTTTAGTTTAAACGTTATCACTAACAATAACATTAATATTATTATTATAACATTATTACTTAGTAACATTATACTGTCATGTAATTCCACGAAACGCTCTTACAACATGCAAAAATATTAAAGAAAATCATCTTCGTATGATTGATGTTGAGTATAGAGGTATTCACCAAATTGTTCCTTTTTCGTATTTGTTTCATGCACTCAAATTCGTATCTTCTTTTTATTTAAAGGACAAATAATATAAGAAATAGTCCCTCGTCAGAACTGGACATGTTATAATATACAGTGACAGCAAGAAAAAAAATACAGATTAAATAAAAGGTGGAAATAAATAAAATTACATAAAAATAAAAGGCGGTAGATAAGGGAACGTAGGAACTGTGTACTACGTCAAATTTGGTTAAATTTTAATGAAATTCCTTCTAGACCGCTCAAAATAATATCACATTCTGTCATCATATCGATGAATGTCGCGACAGACCGCGTTCTGAGTGCCCGAGTTCTTCGGTAAATATTCATTATCACTAAAATAAAATTGTTTTTGACAACGACTTTTTCGTATTGCGTCCGTTGCGGCTTGCTTGCTTGGATCGTTTCCGTTTTGTGGATACTGGATCATACCCCACGTTCAACGTGATTTTCGGTTTTCTTTTTATCGATATATGTACTAATTTGTGTATATACCTATAATTCTTTGTAGATATTAAAATTACGATATTTATCATGATCGATACTAATGATTTTTTATATCGATATTTTAAATATCGCACCTTTGGTCGATATTGACATCCCTATTTGCGACCACTACTCTCTCTTTGGCAAACACAACAGACACTGATGGCGCTTAAGTGTTGACGAAACATACTAAAACTTATATGAAAATATATTATAGAAATTCGAAGACCGTTTTTCGAAATGATTCAGCGGAGATCGATTTGAATTAATATTATAATAACATGCTTGAACGTAATCAAACATTTCCGAAATTTCAACATACGACGACGATAAGCAAATTCGGTATTTCCTCGCTATTTAATTATGTCATCGACTCTTTATAATCCATTATCATTTTTTTTTTTTTATGTTATTTTATTGCATTTTATTACAGTTCACATATAATTGTTATTCACGTACACACTTGACAATTATTTTTGGTGTAACAAAAAACACCACATCGCAACTCCATCGCATTAATAACCTCTGTATATATGGACGTTAACGTCGCAGCACCAACGTGTTGACAAACATGACCATACGCAACCGAGCCGAAACCGTCTCACCAAAGTTTCAGTTTGTTTAAATCAACAAAAAGTGTATTTACGGTTATGGTTATGTAACTTTGTATCGTCGGACTACTATCACTTTTGCTACTTCACTAGAAAACAAAAGTAGTATTTTAACATTTTGCATCGTCGAGTATCCTGACATGGTGTTGCGTCATACGTGATCTGCGCGTGATTACTGTTCAAGTGTGCGTTGGGAAAAGTCATTTTACACGTCTAATGAAATCTGATGAAAATGTAATAGTTGTACATTTTTATTTACTGCATTTTATAGATATATTACTGGAACAGCTCACACTTAGGACTTTTATAACTGTTCTTCATATTTTTGAGCACAGGTGTGACAAAAATATGCCTAACCAGTATACACAAAACTACAATAAATACTTTACAACACATTATAATGGAATAGAACACGATAAGACTAGGAAATTGGAAAAATTATTATTAATTGATCGATGAAATAAATACATATAAAAATCACAATTTAAGTTTATTAAGGGCCTAGAAATATTTTGGATCTAAAAATGTCTCGTACAACCTTCAGGTGGCACTGGATGACCAATGTTAAGTTCAATTCAGCAAAAGTTGTAAAACAATTACAATGAAATTCTAATTAATTTAAATTGTTGCTAATACGTCGATTTCAAAAATATTTCAAGTATTATAAGTGCTGATTAAACTTGTGATTATAACTTCCCGTTTAAATTTAGAATTAACCATGTTAGCTTGGACTGCTGCTTAGCGCATGACCTCATCATTAGTATACATATGAATGTATTATCAATAAGAATTTCACAGGTATTTAACGAAATATTTTATTGAAATATTCAACCGAGGACTGAAAACAGTATTAAAACGCCAAGCATAATTCTTTACAATTTATTAAGTAGATCCCAATTATGTGTTTAAATCTACTTAGACCTGAAACCTTATCAGTAATCTCTAAAAACGTGTCCACACGAAAGCAATCACAAACTGAACATATGTACTCGCCGCGTTTGTCGCAAAAATTTCCGTTGTTTGGTCGAAACTTCAAGCACGCAGAATACTCACGACTTACAGCGAACGCAATCCGATCGTTTTCGGTAAAATGAACTTGTTCAATGGTAAATTGTCCAATGCACCACAACTCCTTATGGATGTGACGTGTTGATGCACCAAAGAAATTCGATTGTGACCAATCGCTTTCATTTAGTATATAAATATTTACATTTTAATTACACTTTTCTCATTAAATTAATAAAATGGAAATATATGATTATACATATTATATGGGGCATGGCCGTTTTCGACCAAAAACGTAATCTTCTCTTTTCGACCAAAACAAAAATGTATGTAATAAATTTAAAATAATAAAATAATTATGTACAATTTTTGTCAATAATTATTAAAATATTAATATAAAAAACGATATTTTGTACTTAGTTTTGATCTCTTATCGTAATGAAAATTGTTTGCATTTTTTTTTCGAAAAATCGGAATTTTAATTTTAAACATTTTAGGACTTCTCTCGTTACTCCTGCCGGATCCCTCATCAACTCGAAGACCTTTGCTCCAAAAACCCTGAATGGTCATTAATATATTATAGTACTTTCCATCATAATCAAACATTATATATCATTATTTTATTATTTTAAATTTATTATATACATTTTTGTTTTGGTCGAAAAGGGAATCGACCAAAAAAGGAAAGGTACGATTTTGGTCGAAAACGGACTCACCCATTATATGTGTCTATGATTAGTTCGATCAGTTTTCATCGAATATTAATGATAAGTTAGTTATTAATTATATATTATATATTATTTTAATTAGTTAGTTTAAGTTAATCACTGTCCATCGCAATGATAGTACAAAGAACGCGAACCGTTACGAATCCAATGTTAGTAAACATGACGATATAATATATAATAAACATATTAAAATGTATGACAATAATTAAATTTTCATGTTGTCAGCAATATACCTTTGCGGCACACCATGGTCAATTGGATCGCAATCGCGCCGGAACCGCAAAACAGGTCCATCACAGTACCCAGCGACTTACACCGAGAAGTCATAAGCTTAACTAAAAATTCTGGAAGGTCGGAGTAAAGGTTCTGTGCAAAAATCATAAAATTATGAAAACACAAAGCAAGACGATCGTTGCACTACTATGGTATAACTAAATATGGTCGTCTGTCTAACATACCTGGGTCTGCCATGATGCTGTCATTAAATTTAGAGAACTGGGCGAACACAACTTGTAGGTGACGTTCAATTCCTGGGAAAAGTACGACTATTTAGTAAACATTGAGCAGTTCGTACAAATAAATATGAATATTTTAGATCAAGGCCATATCTGGGGGGGTCATTATTTTACGAATGTTTAAAATACTTATTTATTTTTAATA